ATACTGCGCTCTGTGAGCATCCAGCTTCTTTTGCAATTGCCTTTTGAGACTTTTCCTCCTTATGGAGGGTGTCAATGATGGTCGTCTGCACAACCGTCAAGTCAGCAGTCTTCCCCATGATTCTGAAGCCTACTAAGCCAGACTGAGACAATTTCAAGGCTGAGGAAACCTTTGCAGGTGTTTTGCATTAATTAGCTGACTAGATTGGGACACAGGGAGCCTACAATGTTGAACTTTGTCATGATATTCTAATTTTGTGAAATACTGGATTTGGGTTTTTTTTGTCTTTAATCCATAATCATCAAAATTGAAACAAATAAAGGCTTGAAATATTTCACTTTGTGTGCAGTGAACTAATATAACATACAAGTTTCACTTTTTGAAACAAATTATTGAAATAAATGGACTTTTCCTTGATATTCTAATTTTTTGGCACATACCTGTATAGACAGGTGTGTGGCTTTCCTAATCACGTCCAATCAGTATAATCAAACACCGCTGGACTCAAATGAAGGTGTAGAACCATCTCAGGGATGATCAGAAAAAATGGGCAGCACCTAAGTTAAATATATGAGTGTCACAGCAAAGGGTCTGAATACTTATGACCATGTGATATTTCAGTTTTTCTTTTTTAATAAATCTGCAAAAATGTCAAAAATTCTGTGTTTTTCTGTCAATATGGGGTGCTGTGTGTACATTAATGAGGAAAAAAATGAACTTAAATGATTTTAGCATATGGCTGCAATATAACAGTGAAAAATTTAAGGGGGTCTGAATACTTTCTGTACCCACTGTATATCAAATTATAGACATTAAATGACACCAGAAAAGCATACATTGATTTGTTTTTTTAGCTTAAAAATGTTTGCAAATATTTCTTACACAGAATATAGTAGGAGTCAAGTGGGAACCAACCAATCTTTGTAACAGTGAGTCCACCCACTGACCAGTTTATTAGGTACACCTGTAAAATTTTATGTAGTCCAAAAGGACATTGCTGCTATGACATCTATCTTTTAGAAGCTCAATGTTTCAGCTTTTGGTGATGTCAGACATTTTTTTATTCAGTTATATGTTTACTTATATGGTCATAGTTAAAGGTGGTATTAAACTAGGCCGCTTTATATTCAAAGGTGTTCCTATAGAAGGGCAGAAAAGATACACCTCGTTTATTTTTCTAAGTTTTAGATTGTGTCAGAGTACACACAGCTCTGGAATCGAGTCAATGCTGCTCTTGACTTGGTAGAAGAGGAAAGGGCTGGCAACCTCAATGAACTTCTCCGGTTTTGACAAAGGGAGCTCTGTGAAAAAAGAAAAAAAAAAAGACAGAAATCCTCACACATAATGCCAGCACTGCTTTTTCACACCCTGACTCCATTTTCTGTTTTTCACTCAGAGATCACCTGATGTCAGATAGGCCTGATCCAGCAGCTATTTCCAGTACAAAAATACTGTACCTATTCCTCTCCTATCTTCATTTCTGTATGTGGTACCGTATGACCTCTGTATTGTAGGTTCTAAATATCCTGCATTAATGCTCAAGTTATGACATTAACCTAGAATGTTCTATGTCATAATTTGTGATTTTCTATTTGTTTGATATCATCCCCTGCATCCTTCCCCCTGGTTTGTCCTTTACCACCTTTTTTTCCTGAAACATAATTTTTTCCCCTGCTTCCTTCCCTCTCTCGCTCACTCTGCGGCTCATCAGTGACCACAGTCTCCCTGCGCTGGCGAATGAGTTTCCATCTGGGCACAGGTGGTGGTTTGGGTGGTGCCTCCAGCTGACATGCCCGGGTTCTGGTCAACAAAACTATATGGCTGTGTAGCAAGGACAGACCATATCGACGAAAAGCCTCTGAGGAACTAGCCTGCACTCCCACACAAAGACAAAGAGACAGAAATAAAAATACAAGCAATACTCACCCTTGGACATGCACATAAAACTTACTTTCCTTCACTGAGAATCATTATCCCTGTAACCAACACTACATATAAATTAAGTCAAATCCAAAAGGTGATCTGATCAAAGATCAGAGCATAAGGTCATGTAACACCTCCAATAGGGGAAAATCCTGGAAGCGGTCCACCAATTAGGTTTAGCATGGGTGTACATAATAAAACAAGTGCAGCCTGTTGAGGGAAAGCATCCAAATAGAACACAACATGCCCCTGGATCACAAACATTGTTGTTTCATCTCCCCCACTCACTGTTACTATAGGGCTTCAGTGCATTTTCACATAAAACAGAGGTGACTAAGACAGCGGATAAACAGCAGGCACCACATAAAAAAAGCATTAAAACTCAATAATGTGTGTTAAGGTTTACAATGAATCCGTAATTATGAGTGTTAATTTAAATAATGATGAGAATATAAAATTATTGTGTTTATATATGCTCATGTAGACATCCTGACTGGACTACACCGAGACCTTCACCTCATAACATCAAAATCCGCACTGAAGATGTTACTGCAATCTACAATAGATGAAATCTAATCTTTGCTTTTGCAAATGTGTCTCATAACAGTGTGACTGAAGTACAAAACTTGTACTGAATGACCAAGTGGGTATAAGTAGCAATCAAGAAGGGAGGAAGAGTGAAAAAAAACATACCATTTGGCCAAACCCAAAAGGACTGATGTGTGGCTGAAAATGGTAATAGCTGGCACACACCACAGCCTTGGGGGTACCTGAGCATCACAAAAAGAAGACTATGCATAAAACCTTTAATTAATCAGGTAATTAAGTAAGTAAATAGGGCAACATGAAAGGATCTAGGTTAACATGGATGGCCCATCCTTATGTATATTGCATAAGGAGAGCACGGACAAGGAGACATGAAAAATCCATTTGAAGGACCACAGCGATGAAATACACTGCCAGACTATTATGAAGACCACACATTAAGAACTGAACAGGGAAGTAGTTCTCACAATGCATGGCAATTTATGCATTTCAATATTACACAACAGTGACCACAAAAACTGTGAGAGATCAATATGTTTTTTGTTTATGCAGACACCATGCCAACAAATAAATGTTCTGAGAAGTAAAACTATGTTCATGCATGTCATTATATTAAGTTGGTATCTATAGTAACACCTTAAAGATCAAGTGAGAGAAAGAATTGTAATTTATAATTAATTTAATTTATAATTTATGTGATATATTTTTGATAAGGATAATACTTTGAATAACACAATTTAAAATCTAAAAAAACTGTCCAACATAATGTCCTTTGTATCATTTTACAGTCAGTTTTCAACAGGTTCTGTTTGTTTATCAAATTGTTTATTTTTTCTACAAATTCAACACAATGCCAAGAATGATTAGCATGCTGACACAGAACTATATTGTGATGAGATGTTCTGCTTTAAATTAATAGTACCTTAATAAAGCTTTCGTCTCTCTACCTCGATCACTTGAAACAACTCTAAGCCACTCGTGCTTTTCTGAGAGCTTGTTTCAACCCTTCCTTCATCAGATGACCACATTTGATTTTGGAGACTCTTCTGTCCTGCAGGAATACCAAATAATTCACCCTGCCACTGCTCCCTCTGCTGGTTTATTTATAGTCCCTCATATAGGCCTTAACCCTCCTTACACTTCATTATACATGAGCTTGGCAAAACAGGACCTGATGCTTAAAACAGCAGGAAGGACTGGTCGACTGAAAAGAGGGCTCAGAAATTGAAGTATTTTGCAGTACAGCATGACAATGACATTAGGTCAGAAGTCTTTACTAAACTATAGTAAATCATCAGAGGAATACTACTGTATGAATGTTGCAAAGATTGCAGGGTTACTACTACTATAAGACAGTGGAATGACTGGTAAGGGCGAGTTTCTGTAGGACAATGAAATATTCATTGTCATGCTTCATACTAATTAAATTATGGATGTGGAAGGAGGAAAATAGAGATTTACACACACTGTGCATTCACCTACATGTACACAAATATATACAGTACATATACAAAGACACACAACACAGATCATTTTAAAACAGCCCAATGATAAATTAATTTGCTGAGCAATAAGGGTGTTCTGTGCATACAAATGAGACTGATTCAATTTGCACACTCAAATATGGGAGCAGAGTGTGT